CCACCGATTGAGCTGATTCTTGTGGGATTCTAAAGAGTAATTTAATGTCTAATCAGTTTACTAAGATCAAAATTCTTAAATCCTCCAATAATATGATTGAAATTGTAATGCAAGTTTTCTGTAATAAGTCATCTTCCTCCAAAATAAAATTGTATTTCTCACATAACTTTTTCTCCCGAACTCCGATTGAGCTAATTCTTGCGACATTATAAAGAGAACTTGAAACCCTACCCAGTTTGTTGAGAATAAAATTCAAGAATCAACCTCTATCGAAGTCGAAATTGTGATGCAAGTTTGGTGTAGTTTGTTAATCGCCTCTTGAAGGAAATGTAATTTCCCATACTTTAATATTTCTGACATAACTTTTTACTCCAATCACCGATTAGGCTGATTCTTGCGGCATTGCAAAAGAATTACTGAATCCTAACCAGTTTATTCACATCAAATTCATGAATCATCCTCTAGCAAGGTCTAAATTGTAACAAAAGGTTAGTGTAGCAAGTCATCCACCTCCGAAGAGAAACAGTATTTCTGATATAACTTTTTCCTCCAACCTCTGGTTGAGCTGATTCCGATGACATTCTAAAGAATAATTGAACGCTTAATCAGTTTACTAAGATCAAAATTCATGAATCCTCCAATAACATGGCCGAAATTATAAAGCAAGTTTGGTGTAATAAGTCATCCGCCTCCAAAATGAAACTTTATTTCTGACATAACTTTTTCTTCCGAACTCCGATTGAGCTGATTCTTGTGGCATTATAAAGAGAACTTGAAACCCTACCCAGTTTATTGAGAATGAAATTCACAAATCAACCTCTATCAAGGTCGAAATTTTGATGTAAATTTGGTGTAGTTTGTCAATCGCCTCCTCAAGGAAAAGTAATTTCCCCTACTTTAGTATTTATGACATAACTTTTTACTCCGATCTCCGATTAGGATAATTCTTGCAGCATTGCAAAGAATTATTGAATCCCTAACCATTTTATTCTCCTCAAAAGTCATGTATCATCCTCTAGCAAGGTCTAAATTGTAACGAAAGGTTGGTGTAGTAAGTCATCGACCTCCGAAGAGAAACAGTATTTCTAACATAACTTTTTCCTCAAATCTCCGATTAAGCTTATTCTGATGACATTCTAAAGAGTAATTGAACGCCTAATTAGTTTACTAAAATCGAAATTCATGAATCCTCCAATAACATGGTAGAAATTATAATGCAAGTTTGGTGTAATAAGTCATCCGCCTCCAAAATGAAACTGTATTTCTGACATAACCTTTTCTCCCGAATTCTGATTGTGCTCATTCTTGCGACATTATAAAGAGAACTTGATACCCTACCCAGTTTATTGAGAATTAAATTCACAAATCTACCTCTATCAAGGTCGAAATTGTGATGCAAGTTTGGTATAGTTTGTCAATCGCCTCCTGAAGGAAAAGTAATTTCCCCTACTTTAGTATTTCTGACATAACTCTTTACTCCATTTTCCGATTAAGTTGATTCTTGCGGCATTGTAAAGAATTATTGAATCCCTAACTAGTTTATTCACATCAAAAGTCATGAATCATCCTCTAGCATGGTCTAAATTGTAACGAAAGATTGATATAGTAAGTCATCCACCTCCGAAGGGAAACAGTACTTCAAACATAACTTTTTCCTCTGCTCTCCGATTAAACTAATTCTGATGGCATTCTAAAGAGTAATTGAACGTCTAATTAGTTTACTACGATCGAAATTCATGAATCCTCCAATAACGTGGTCAAAATTGTAATGTAAGTTTGGTGTAATAAATCATCTGCCACCAAAATTATAAGCATTTGCTTCACGAAGTCCAAAGCTCTGAAGACTGTTCCACTACTTTCGACAGTTTGGATTCTCTCCTTCCTCAGTCATGCATCATCCAAGGCATCAGATGCATACACAAGTTTGCATATCCCATCTAATTCCTTTCCATTTCAGCACTACTCCACTGTCAAATTTTTGTGATGTTTAATTCTAATTGATCAGTTAAAGACTCATTGATTCGTAGCTTTGAAATTCTCTAGCAAAACTTTAAGATTCTGTTTGGTAACGGTTTGGTTTTCAATTTTTTTTTATTTTTTTTTCAATTTTTTAAAAAATATAAAACTTAACCTCATTTGATAACCATTTTAATTTTTTTTTAAATTAAAAAACCGTAAAATTATTTAAACCCCAGTCTCATCATCTCTCTCGTCACTCTCGTCTCATCGTTCAGCAGAGACGTTCCAGGCGTTCCAGCAGAGGAGTTCCAGGATTCGTTCCAGGCGTCCAGCAGTTCGTCTCTCTCATTTGAAGCTCTCTCACCAAGGTTGTTCACAGCAGCTTCATCTCTCTTCTCTCTCTCTTTCCCAGTCTCTCTCTCTCCACACACGTCACAATGGCAACCAGATGTGAAATCCTGTGCAAAATCCTACTCACAATCTTGATTCCTCCTCTGGGTGTTTGCCTCAGTCACGGTTGCTGCAGTGTAAGCCCCAAACCCACCCTATTTTTTTGTGTTTATCTATAAACCACCATATGGGTTTACATAAATATGAAATAAAAATTTGGATTTGTATACTGGAATTGAATTCTTTGTATGTAGATGTAATTTTGTTGATATGGATTTGAATTTGCAGGTGGAGTTATTTCTCTTCATTTAGTATTTTTTTTTCAATGTTGTTCCCCGTATTCAATTACCTCTATGTGTTTTTATGTGTCTGTTTGTTCTAATTATGAAGGAATTTGATCTGGACGGTGTGGAAATAAATTACAGATTATGTCTATTGCTGTCAACTTTTTTTGTCTTTCCTTTTTAGCCTGTTTGTGACGAATTCAACAATTTGTTAGAAAGAAGATTATTGGGATGAGTGAAGTTATATATTTCTTAAAGTAGGTGTGATCTCTTCAGCCTTGTTTTGGAAGGCTGAGGAGATGAGGAAGAAATATAGTTTGGAGGTTGCTTGATAACACAATTAAGTGCTAAAACTGAAACCTTTTCAGCACAAGATTGATTCATTGCGATTGATGGATGGAACAGTAATTACTCAATAATTTTACTCACCTTTTGTTGTTCAGGAATGGTGATGAAAGGAAAAGAAAAGGAATCATGGTGTTTTCTATTTTCTTCTGCAACTAAAAGGTTCAAAATAGGGAATGGAATATTAACAAATATGGGTAAAACGAGTAATCACTAGCTCTGTTTTATCTTTCATCCTCTCTGACATTTTATAGCGGCAACAGAAATTATGGTTTATAGGAGTTAATAATCCTCCCTTTACCCTCTACATCACTTCTTTTACCTCCTCAAGGTTGGTCCAAAGATTGGATAATGAAGTGGAAGTCTTGAGTTAGTACTAAATGCAGAAAAATGCTCATTATGCAACATTTTATTAAATATATTTCCCTGATACAGTCTGGTCTCAAGCTCTCCCCCAGTGTTATGCCCTTAAAACTACTTTTGCTATGCCCCTCTCTTTCTCTCTACTCCACTAATCCAGCATCTCTTGCTTCCTTAAATATCATCCACTGCAGTTTTAAAGCTCAATCCAAATAGGCATGTATATTGCCGATAGCAATATGTGATCACGCTTGTCATTGAAGTTATGTCCTGAATGTTGTTGCAAGATGGAGATTCTTTTACATTTATACTTCTATCACATACATTGGTTCAAAAAAATAAAAGCATGCTTGTCTACAAATATGTTGAGGAGTTTGGACTAATTGAGCGGATATAAGGGTTCTATTCAAATACTTTGCTTGAGACAGGATGATGAGCTGCTATATTGTATGTATGTATGTATGCATATAATGAGGGGATTTTTTTTTTCTTTGTGGGGTGGGGTGGGGTTGTGTGTGTATGTGTTTTGTTTTTTTTTTTTTTTTTTTTGGGGGGGGGAGATACCGAATGATAAAATTGAAGAGTGGCTCATCAACACGAAGAATGTTGGCATTTGGGCCACTTTAAGGTGGGTTGGGCTGGGTTCTCATGACCCATCAAGCCACCTAGATACCAGTTCATAAAATAATTTAGAAACGTTTATTTTAGAACTCGTCACATTAAACTAATTATTTTTAAATTAATTTAATTTGTGATACAATAGTAATGGCGAATATTGTTGATTGATAAACATTGATTAACCTTTGAGCGGTAGAACAACTATGGCATGCAATATGTACATGAATTAAAATAATAATTATAATAATTTGTCTCGAAATATGTAGCAGGAGTGCCTAAACTGCTCAATAATTTGGTAACGTTTTTGGTTTTCAGTTTTTAAAAAAAATATAAATTGAACTGGTTCTCATTTTACTTTTTATAAAAAATGAAAATCAAAAACTTGTTTGGTTATATTTTCTGTTATAAAAAAATGAAAATAGAAACAGAAAATAGGGCAACCATTCAAGTCCACAATGTTAATTATTTAAAACTAATATAATAATCAGTAGATCCAAATTGAACAAGAGAACCATATAATTCATAAATTTCGAGTCATAAGTATATATTCAAATATTTCAGCGAATTATTTTACATGCAACGCACGTGTACATCAACCAGTTATATAGAAGTATAGATTTGTTAATTAGATATGGGAAGTTAAAAATAAAATAAAAACAACTTTTTGTAATAACCTCTTTCTAAAACGACGTCATTTTTTGAAGTTCTAATAACCCACCATCTGCAACTCCAAAACGACGTCGGTTTAGCATCCCAAACATAAATGATGCCCTATTTTAATTCCCCTCCCCCCCCCCCAAAAAAAAAAAAAAAAACCCCTTCTCTCCCTCTCCCTCGATCTCGAACTCGAACGGCGCCTACCACTGCCCATAGCTCGCTCTCTCCCCATCTCTCTGGTCCCTAACCAGCACTGCCTTTGCCAGCGACCTCCAGTCTCCCTCAGCCTCCAGCCGCCATCGACCGCCAGAAAGAGAAGATTTGGCTCTCTCGCTGCCATCGAAAACAGCCACTGCCACAACAACGACAGCATTAACAACCCTGAGGATGATGAGGTACTTGTCGACGAAATGCGCACCTAATCTGAGGAAGATCAACCCAAAGGTACCGCCTGAAGTGGCAGCCTCCATTGCTGAAGGTCTTTATAATATTATCAAGCAGCACGGCCCTTCCACCGTCTCCAACACTTGGAACCACGCTAAGGTTTCTCTCTCCTCCCCCCCCCCTCCCCCACTCTCTTCCCCAACACACACGCACACTTTCGTGTTCCCTACTTTTGAGATTAACTGTGTCTCAATCAAATCTGTGGATTACATTGAATCAAGATAATTCCGGCGTGGAGTGTAAACTCTGATGCAGAATGAATATGGAAGGTGATACAACTCTAGACATAACTCCTTACATTACATTAACACACCACAACCTCCACTACTCTTGTAACCATTAAAACATCAAGACACCACTTTCTCCACTACTTGGAGCATTAATCACCACCAACACAAATCACTCACCCACTACAGGCTATATCAATTTACCAGTAGCACAAATTTTCTTCCACTACCTTTAACATTAAAACACACCTAATTAAAAGAATCTAATGATATACTATTCCTCAAATATGACTTATTGTTTTAAAAAAATTGCTGATGAATTATTTCATTGTCTAATAGAAGTGGATATCATTAAGCACACTAGAACGAAGAAGTGCACCTAAGTCACAAAGGACACCCATTTAAATTGGGCTCATTTGTTTTTGCCCATTATATAAATCGAGTCCACTCCCGTCTGTGCATAGTATTGGACCACGTTTGGATCTTAGACCAACTGCCGTCTGCCACAATCAAGCTCATGAAGTAAGAGAAATGCATTTCAAATTATCTCAAATCTCAGGTTTCTTAGATTCACAAGGTAAGGCATCCAAAATGGTGCTAGAACTCCAGTTACATAGCTTCTATACATTAGAAGATGAATCTTGGTGTATATTTAATCCAGGAGGAATCTCGAGCATAGATTTCCGGCACCAATAGACAAGTAGTTGAATACTGTTTCTAACCTTGGTAAGGATGGTTCGGATCATCTTGACAGCTGCAGCATTGCAACCTTGTCCCTATAACTGCTCCAATGCTAGTCAATTGAACTTGCTGCCATACTGTTCCTAATAGCTGCGATACTCTCGGACTATAATTGCTGCATTCAAATTAACATTGTTATTCTCTTCGGCGCATCACTCATGTAAGCTCCCAAATTGTCATACAATATCTACTTCATCTTATGAAACACGGATACTTCGTTGAGGTCGATGTTTTTGTATCAAATACCATATATGATACGATACTCATCGGCTACTCGTGGATACGTATCCAAAGAAAGTGGTTATGCTTCGGATATGGAAGTCAGTATGAGAAACAATACATAGAAATTTTTGTTTTAATCTTTATCCATTCCTCTTGAATTCACATATGATGTAACACACAGAAAAATTCGTATTACTTTGACGATATTTGGGTGTTTCTTTAGTACATCTACTATAGATGTCAAAAAAGTATAAAATGAGGTGATTACAACATATCTTTTACCAACAAATACTTTTAAGAAACTAAATTGTTAAATGCTGGTTCGATTCCTTTAATTGGTCACCTTTATTTTGTGAATATATCATAATGAAACGATACATACTCTTTGAAAGTAAAAATTACTAATTTTTTGTACTATTCCTTAAAGAATCTTCTGAAAACTACAATTGTGGATTTCCTAAAAAATAGTGGAAGTATAAAATATATTCTTTTATTTACGTATTCTAGTCGTATTTGTATCCTTTTTTTTAAACTTTTGTCGTATCGTTGTATCCGTTTCCATGCTTCCTAGACTTCATCCTTGTTTTTGCTTGAGAAACTGTGGTTTACTGGTTGACATATTTGACCTGGAACCATGTCTGGCTTTTTGTGAGACAAGATGCCTCAGTGCTACAAGGGCACTTTCACACCACTCCCCTATCCAATTTCAGTCACATGCATAATATTTGTGCTATTCATAGATGGGTTTTATGTAGTCTTTTTCCCGCATGAACTTATAAACATATGCATATGTAAATATGTATGCCGCACACCATATACTTGTGCTTTGCCAGTAAGGTTCCAGGACTCTACCCCGTCCTTTTATTATTAATTGGGGCCCTCTTCAGGTTTTTGTTCCCAGCTACTTGAATAATTTTGCTAGTGACTTAATTTTGTGATAGTGATCGAGGATTTGAGGTGCATGTGAAAGTGTTGTATGCATATTTCGACAATATATGGTCAGATCTTGATGTTGCTCATTTTACATTGCTTATATAATGTATTTCCTTGAGACCAACAGAAAAAAGTAAAAAGGAGGATGCTTGTATACCATATATTTCTGCTTTTGTATTTTTGCATTTGGATTTAGAAAAAGAAATGAGTAATGTTGTACAAACAAAAAATACCGTACCTTGGTATTCCTAAACAGAATGATATGGTCCGCTACCATTGTCTCATTCCAAACACAAGTACATTAGTGTCATCATATGTACAAAAATGACACTGCTACATCACTCGTCTGCATCGTTCTTGTGTTAAGTCATATGTACATAAATGACACTGCTACATCACTCCTCTGCATCATTCTTGTGTTAAGTGTTGTTAAAAATTCCTTCTGAATCATTTTCCAAAATGAATTAATCATACATGATCTCAATATAAATGTAATACAGGAAGCTGGTATTAGCGGATTGAATAGCAAAACACATATGAAGATAATGCTCAAATGGATGACGGGAAGGAAGATACTGAAGCTATTTTGCAACCATGTGGGTTCCAGCAAAAAATTTTTGCACCGTACTCTGCCTGAAGAACCACAAACTGACCTAGCAAAGAACTCCCTGGAACTGAACTTGCAAGCTGAGAAGTCTTCTATGAAGTGGAAAAAGAAAATTCAGTGATGCGTGTGTTGTGAGCATTTTTACCAAGCATAGGAATACTTAGAGGGAAGAACTTCACTACACCAGGTTTAGGAATACGGACAGGGAAGAACTTGCATTTGTTGTGCGCTTCTTGTGATGTGCAGTGGCGTGATCACTTCCTTTGGCTGGACCCATTATGTAGTCATTGTCTTTACCTTTACAGTATTTCAACTGCTTTGGCAATGTATTTCACTTTCAGGTACTGCTCCTTTCGCCCTTCTCCTTTTAAATATTTAGGTAATTTCATGAAACACATCCCATTTTGGTTGTCTTGGAGCAGATGGTTAATAAACAGGTCTCCTTGTAGTAGTATACTATCTAGTCATGCTGTTAAGTGTGAATGTGTCTTTTCATTGCCTGTAGTTTCCTTTCTACGACATGCTATAGTTGATTTAAAGTTCCATTTCTTGATATTAGAGAATCATGACATTCTTTTCTCCGACTGTTGTTGTGAATTCAAATAGTGGACCTCCATGTGCTGATATAAAATTCTGTTGGGAATTATAATGGAAGTGAAATGGTATCTCTGGCGACTCTGTTAATTTAATAGAATAAAGAATAGAGAACACGAGCATATGGGCTTCAGATGATGTGTGATTGGCGCATTAATGGTTGATGAATAGTGATGGTTTGCCAAGCCAAATCACCTGATTTTTGTGGGCACGCAGGGGTCTGTTCTCTTGTAGTCTTAATTATTATTTTAGTTTGATTGATTGATTACGCATATACTGACATCAACTTTTGCTTGTTGACTCGTCGCAAGTATTGCATGCTAGCTGTTCTGCATAAAAACAAACTAATATTAAGCTCTTCGACCAGACGATGACGAGCTTCTCGCCCTCTCTACTTTTCTGACGCTGGAAAAAGCAGATCTTTAATCTGTTATTTGAATTGAGGGTATAATTTTTACCCATTTTGCTGATCTCAGAATGGTGATGATAAATTTGGGAGGAAGTTAGGCACAACATATATGAGCTCAAAAAGTTAAAAGAGCTAAAAATAAAATTCAGTGCGATTATTCTCACCTCACAAATATCTATTCTCACCCTCATTGAACTCTATTATAAAACTAATAAGCTCACCACATTATATACCCCAAGCTACTCCCATAAGTCAGCCATCCACTTGATGGTTAATATACACATATCCGTGGCAATCAAACTCTAATTTGGAAAAGGAAAACCTGAAACCCCAACTGCCTGACTTCTTAATGTAAAATTGGACCGCTCCAGACAAACTCTACAACGCAGCTAATTTTTCTTTTCTCATAATTCTCATGGTAGACTTCAGTAGATTAGGTATCGTCCCATGAGTGCTTGTTTTATTTGGTGCTTCAACAGTCAGTGCTCATGTTCTTAGTAGAAAACTGAAGGAATAAAACAAAAAAGGCTGAAGGTGAATACTTGAGCCATTTGTCCATCGAATAAGGGGCTGGAATTTGATGCCATATCCACCGTGACCCAGCGGAACAAGGAGCACAAAGAAAATATTGTTTCTAAGTGTATAAAACAAAAGTATTTTGCATCCACGGAGAAATAAACCAGAGGGTATCTCTAAAAAGGTATATTATTTCATGCCTAATTCGTATTACATAAAAGAACTAGTTATTGCATATGCTTGAAGACACAGAGTAATAAAAAAAATTATTTAACAGTAAACATATTTGTATTCACGCTCAAAATTAAATCACAAACATAGAAGAAAGAAAAATAAATTTAAGCATCAGTTTGTAATGCAGGTGAGCAGTGATACTGGTAGTAGGCAATAGTTGTGGTGGTGGAAGACGGTCATGAATGTGGTGGGCGGCGACAATCGTAGTGGTGGTGATAGCTGTGGGTGGCAACGGTAATGGTGGTGGTGGTGGTGAGTTTTGGATGACGATAGTAGTAGTGGCAGTCATGAATGACGACGGTGGTGGTGGTGGTGATGGTGAGGCGACGATGGTGGTGGTGGGTGACGACGATGGTGATGGGTGAAGACGGGTGCTTCTAGGCGACAGTGATGATCGGTGGTGGCGAATGACGATGGTAGTGATGGTAGGTGTGGTGGGGGTGGGTGGCAGCGATAGTGGGCGATGATAGGTGGTGGTGGTAGGTGTGGTGGCGATGAATGACAGTGGTTGGCGACAACGAGTGGTGGTGGGTTATGGTAGTGGGTGGTGGTGGGCGATGGCGGTGGGCGATGATGGTAGTGGAATGATGGTGGTTGTGGTAATAAATATATAAATGACATGACGATGATGGTAGGTGGTGGCTGTGGACAACGGTGATAGCAATCGATGGTGGATGATGATAGCGGTGGTGGTTTTGGCAGAGATGGTGGTGGAGTGACAACGATGGCAATGGTGGTTGTAGTGGTAGTGGTGGTGGTGGTGGTGGGGCGGGAGCGAGAAGCAATGTTGGTGGTGGTGGTGGGTGGTAGTGGTAGTCGTGGTGATGGGGGTGGAGTTGGTAGGGGTGATGGTGGGATAATGGCAGTGGTGATAGGGTGGCGATAGCAATGGTGATGGTGGGGTGGCAACGGTGGTGGTATGGGGGTGGTGGTAATGGTGGGGATGGTAGGGTGACGATAGTAATGATGCTGGGGTGGGGCTCATAGTGGTGGTGGCAGAGGTGGTGATTGGGTGGCGGCGATGACAGTGGTGGTGGGGGTAGTTGTGGTGGTGGTAGGGGTGATGGTGGGAGGCGGTGGGGGGTGATGGTGGGGTTGTTTTAAACACTAATTTTTTTTTTTAAATACTTATAAAAAGTTATAAATTTTATGAGCACTTTTAAAAAGTCACCCCAAATGTACCTTTAAAAGCTTATTTTTCCTATTAAATGTTGAGAGTTAATATTAATCGTTGAATTAACTTTAAAGTAAAATTTAAAGCGATCTCAACCGTGAAAAGTAAAAATTATTTTGTTTATTTTTTAGATTTGAATTGTATTGTACTTTATTATGTAGACTAGTTATTACTCGTACTTGAAGACACGGAGTAATAAAAAAAATAGACAATAATAAACATATTTGTATTCACACCCAAAAATAAATCACAAACATAGAGGAGAGAGAAAAGAATTTAAGCACTAGTTGTAGTGGGTGAGCGGTGGTAGTAATGGTGGGCAATAGTAGTGATGATGGGAGACAGTGATGATTATGGTAGGTAGCGATGACCGTGGTAATGGTAACAACCATGGATAGCAACGGTGATGGTGGTGGTGAATTTTGGGTGACGATGGTGGTAGTGGTAGTCATGGGTGACGATGGTGGCAGTGGTGGGTGTGGATGGTAGCGGGCGATGATGATAATGGTTAGCAATGGTGGTGGTGAAATGACGACGAGGTGCTTTTGGGCAATAATGTGATGGGTGGTGGCAAATAGTAGTGGTAACGATGGGGGTAAATGTGGTGGGGGTGGGTGACAGCGGGTGGCAACAGTGGTGGGTGGTGATGGTGGGCGATGACGATGGTGGTGGTAGGGGACGACAAGTGCTTCTATGCGACGGTGTGATGGGTGGTGGCAAATGACAGTAGTGGTAGATGTGGTGAAGTGGATAACAGTGGTGAGTGATGACAGGTGATGGTTGGTGGTGATAAGTGTGGTGAGGGTAAGTGACAGTGATTGACGACAATGATGGGCGACGACAAGTGTTGGTGGGTTGTGGGAGTGGGTGGCAGTGGACAAAAATGGTGGTGGTGGGTGCTGACGGTGGGCAATAGTGGTAGTGAGATGATGGTGGTAATGGTAATACATATAAAAATAAGAAGACGATGGTTGTGGGTGGTGGGTGGTGGCGGTGGACGATGGTGGTGATGGAGATGGCGGTGGCGATGGGACAGTAGGGGTGGGGTGGGGGTAGGGGTGGGTCAATGGCGGTGGTGGGATGTGGGGTGGGGTGATGGCAGCAGCAGTAGTGGCAATGGTAGTGGCAGTGGTGATGTTAGGGTGGCGGAAGTGACGATAATGGTGATGGTCATGGGGGTGATGATGGTGGTAGAAGTGAGGATGGGACAGTGACGGTGGTGGTAGGGTGGCGACAACAATGATGGTGGTAGTGAGGATAGTGGTTGTGGGGCGGTGGTGGTTTTGTAGCAAATGTTGTAGTGGGGTGATGGCGGTGGTGGTTGGGGGGGCGCATAGTGAGGGTGGTGGTGGTAAGGGTGGGATGATGGTGATGGTGGGACAGTAGGTGTGGTGGTTGTGGTGGGGTGGTGGCAGTGATAGTGGTGGCGACGACGACGATGGTGGTGGTTATTGTGACAGAAGTGGTGATGGGATAACGGCAGCGGTGATGGTGGGGGTAGTTGTGCACCTGTGGTGGTGGGGTGGCAGTAATGGTAGTGGCGATGATGGTGGGGCAATAGGAGTGGGGCAGTTTTTAAATACTATTTTTTTTTTAAAGTATTTATGAGAAATTATAAGTTTTAAAAGCATTTTTACAAAGTTTTTTCAAACACCCTTAAGGGCCTATTTTTTCTATTAAATTTGAAGTGTTAATATTAATTGTTGGATTAACTTTAAAATAAAATTTAAAAAAATCTCAACCGCGAAAAATAAAAATTATTTTGTTTGTCTTTTGATATTTGAATTGTATTGTACTTTATTATATAGATATTTATAAGAACAATCAAAACCCTAATCATTCACATAATAATTGGAAAATCCCTTATTATACAAAATTATCAAAAATAAAAAAATTACAATCTAACTAATTAACATAAAAACACGTGTCACCTGAAGTCTAACAAAATTGACCACACTGAATTCGAAATCTCTTATAATTTTTTATTAATTTGTAAATTTTTTCCTAAAACTGCAAAAGAGAGTTTCTTATGTTGATGTTGCCTGGACCAGGAATAGGATCGGACACTTGAAGTATCTTTTAGTGCTTGGGTATAAGGCTTTACATGATAAAGCTAAAAATTTGGTGTGGAGATCTTTGGATTGATCATATGTGATTTTTCTGCTTTTATTAGACATGAGATTGCAAGAATTGT